TCTACCAAGGATCGCTTCCTAGCTGGAACAGCGTACAAACCTCAGCACTCTTGCCCTCAGTTGCCAGGTAACCCGTGGCAACGCTCTGACCCCGCGGCTCTCGCGAGACTTGCAGTAGAGCTGACCAGACCAGAGGAGAAGGGAGCTGACAGGAGCTGCAGGAAAGGTAAGTAACAGCTCTCTGCCAGCCCCCTCCTACACAGCCCATCCACTGGACCACCAGGGAATAAGAGCCCCCCTCCCTGGCCAGCTAACAAGCAGGGAGGGGGGATGAAAATAAAAATTAAATTAAAAAAATATATATTACAATAAAAAAAATTAAATATTAAAATTAAAAAAGTAAATAATAAAATAAAAAAATAATACTAAAATTAAAATATATAAATTAAAAATTATAAAAATGCCCTCCCTCACCCAGTTCACACACAAACACACACTTATACAAACACACCCTCTGCATTGTATACACACACACACTGCATTATACACACACTAATACAAACACACACTCTGCATTATATAATGCAGAGTGTGTGTTTGTATGAGTGTGTGTATAATGCAGAGTGTGTGTATTTAATGCAGAGTGTGTGTATATAATGCAGTGTGTGTGTTTGTATGAATGTGTGTGTATATAAGGCAGTGTGTGTGTTTGTATGAGTGTGTGTGTGTGTGTGTATATAATTATAAAAATCACAGAATTTCATAGCCCCAAGTTTTACCCTCGACTTATCCACGAGGCATAGCATATTTCACAATTGTTGGTCACAAAACTGCACTCGATTTATACATGAGATCGACTTATACACGAGTATATACGGTATGTATGGCAGGTTTTGAATAATAATGCAAGTATGTAGTTTATGCACTCACATGTAATAAACAGGGATGCGCAATTCGTATCGCCCGACACCCAGGGCATGCAGTTCGGGGCGCCGAGCAGGAAGTTATTTTATCCTTTTAGCCCTGCTGTGTATTCTTCCTTTTTTTCCCCTCTCTTTTCTTTATTGTTGGACTAAAAATGTACCACTATATTTGTAATTGTCATTTTACAATTTTTGTGGAGTACTTAAACATGTGTACGGATTTACTCTTTTCTGTATTTTCAACAACATTTTGAATTTAGATGAAAAACAAAAATAAAGAATAAAAAAAAGGAAAAAGAAAAAAGTCCAGTTGAAACCATTTGGTGTTAATGATTTTAAGTTGTATATGCAGAACATTTCTTTTTTTAACTAATAATTTTACTGAATCACCCCCACGCTATGTAACATGTATTTCGGTAATTTCACAGAAATACAAATGTATTTATTTATTTATGTTTTAAAAAGTGTTTTGGAAGCCCTTGGGTATATTTTTGCAATGTTCAAAAATTTGAATTTTCAAACTAATGAAATTTTAGTGGTCATTCCACAGGGACATTCAAGTAGATAGATTAAATTTTTTGGAGTTAACAACTACATTAACAACAAAGTATTTAACCAGGAAAGGTACATTCAGTTTACTCTGGTTTTCAAGTACGTTGTGGGGATGTTACCTTAGCCCAACATCCAGGGGTTGTTACTATTACCCAATTTAATGGTACTCATTTTATCTACCTCGGAAGGATGAAGGGCTGAGTCAACCCTACCGGGATTATGAACCTGCGACCCAAGGGTTGAACAGATTCTACTGATGATGCATTAACCAACTGAGCTATCTCACCAGCATAGTTACAGTTACTGGAGTTACAAGTAATGAATTTGCATATATTATAAAAACATTTTTTACCAGGAAGTAAAACTCCAGGTAGATTTACACACATTGCACATATTACATTTTAAAAAGTATTTTTTGGGTCATAAAATTGTCATTCTTTACAGCTCGTTTCTCAGTATTATATCTTTACAGTTCGGTTTTACTTAGCAAATCTAGGCAGGCTGCTCCTACACAAGATTAATTAGTAGTTTATATTACTGCACTTCTATACAAGTTTCCCTTATTGATATGTATTTATGCATATGATAGTATTTATTATATGAGACTTGACCGCCACAACCTATTTATGTATACAAGTTAGATTTTCGTTCTCACACTTTTTTTCACCAACAATATTAACCCCTTAAGGACTAAGCCAAATGTACACGTTGTGAATAAAACAAAACGTAAACAAAACCTGGCATGTCTGTCCAACCGTAATTCACCTCTTTCAAATTAAATGCACGCACCCTTATTATATATCATTTTATTCAGGGGAAACAGGGCTTTCATTTAATATCAAATATTTAGCTATGAAACAATTTAATATGGAAAAAAATGGGAGAAAATAAGTATTTATTTTTTTTTAGTTCTACATGACATTTTAACGGTCAATGTCATAACACTGTTTGCTTTTACTGCAATAAAATACACATTTGTATTCAACAAAGTCTCACGTGTAAAACAGTACCACCTATGTACAGGTTTTATGGTGTTTTTGGGAAGTTACAGGGTCAAATATAGCACGTTACTTTTGAAATTGAAATTCTCCAGATTGGTTACGTTGCCTTTGAGACTGTATAGTAGCCCAGGAATGAAATTTACATCCATAATGGCATACCATTTACAATAGTAGACAACCCAAGGTATTGCAAATGGGGTATGTCCAGTCTTTTTTAGTAGCCACTTGGTCACAAACACTGGCCAAAGTTATTGTTAGTATTTGTTTGTGTGTGAAAAATGCAAAAAATGCCAATTTTGGCCAGTGTTTGTGACTAAGTGGCTACTAAAAAAGACTGGACATACCCCATTTGCAATACCTTGGGTTGTCTTCTATTGCAAATGGTATGCCATCATAGGGTAATTTTCATTCTTGGGCTACCATAGGGTCTCAAAGGCAACGTAACCAATCTGGCGAATTTTAATGTGAAAAAAATGAAACACAAGCCTTATATTTGACGCTGTAACTTTTGAAAACACCATAAAACCTGTACATGAGGGGTACTGTTGTACTCGGGAGACTTCGCTGAACACAAATATTTGTGTTTCAAAACAGTAAAAAGTATCACAGCAATAATATCGTCCGTGTAAGTGCTGTTTGTGTGTGAAAAATGCAAAAAACTTCACTTTTACTGGCGATATCATCGTTGTAATACATTTTACTGTTTTGAAACACTAATATTTGTGTTCAGCGAAGTCTCCAGAGTAAAACAGTACCCACCATGTACAGGTTTTATATTGTCTTAGAAAGTTATAGGGTTAAATATAGTGCTAGCAAATTAAATTACCTATACTTTCGGCATGGGTTGTCAGGCAGGTCCAGCTAATTGTAATTAATTAAAATACCTAATTATGTAAAAATATTACATAAATATATATGTATAATTAATATAGGTATATATACGTATGTGTGTGTGTGTATATATATATATATAATATATATTATTTTGTTCTACGTGTATTTTGATATAAATATATTTATATATTAATATCACAATACAGTTAGAACGAAATAACACATCTATATATTGTTTATTTTTTATTATTTTTTTAATTTTATTTTTGAACGTATTTACTTTTTTTTATATTATATGTAAATATATATATATATATTAATATCAAATTACACGTAGACTGATACTGATTAAATATATATAATTATTGTTATATATATTTATAACAATAATTATATATATTTAATCAGTATCAGTCTACGTGTAATTTGATATTAATATATATATATATATATAATTATATATATATTAATACTAAAATACACCTAGACAATGTATGTGTGTGTATGTATATGTGTATATATATATATATATATATATATATATACACACACACAATGTAGAACAGCTTGGCACTCTCCTTGCAAAAAGGAACAAAAGCAAAATTGCCTAGGTGCTACCCGCGTTAGAAATATATAAACATAGAGACAGGGGTGCACTCACAGGTCTTCGAAAAGATGGCAACTGATTTATTTGAACAAAGAAAATCTTCAATACATTTGTGACAAAAATCGACGTTTCGACCCTTAAGGGTCTTTCTCAAGATCACAGCACACACACAACAGTGACAATATATACACATATCAATTAGCTAACTTACCAATGTAATGTGAGAGAGATAATTGTGGACCCATCACCTACAAACCGCAATAACCCCAAAAGTGCTGTACGCCGCGGTGACGTCATCACGTGGTGACGTATCGCGGAAGAAGAACGTGGTTGCTAGGCAACCAAATGACGCCGTGGAAAGTAAAATTAAACAGCATCCCAAAATCGGACACATACATGCCCAGATGGAGGAAATAGTCATGCATATATAAGAAAGAGATATAGATAAAGTATATACAACCAGTATATAGATTAGGTTAGAGTGTGGGCTATAGGGTACAAACCCGACTGTCAATAATATGTGCAAGTGAGTGAAGTGGAAAAGTGTATAGTGTAGGACAGAGGGTAATAATAACTTAATAGACCTCTCACAAGAACTATACAAGAACCAAATCAAATAAAATAATCTTTACACAAAATATATATACATGATCAAATTCATATCCCATAATGCTGTACATACTAAAATACAGGTTAGCAGAATAATCTCATAAGAAATATTAATAATGATATCACAAAAAATATTACACCAATCCATTACATAATTTGAATTTTACAAATAGCTAACCAAATTATTAGCATACAAGAGTAATTAGCAAAGGAACTTTTTTTAGAAGAGCCATAATTAATATAATGTAATATATTCAAGTATAGGGACAGGAGTCTTGCTCAGGCAAGAAAAAAAAGAAAGAAAAAGAAAAAGAGAAAGAGAACAAAAAAACAACTCATTCTACAAATATGTACCAATCTATGTATAAGTAAAAAGAAGGAAATACCCAAATGTAAAGGTTTGTAGGCAAAATTGCTGTCTTGCAAAAAAACAATCAGGACGATTCAATCTAAATGTAATAAAGCAAACCAGTCTTATTGAACATCACATCATCCCATAGAATAGTCAAATGAGATAAAAAAAAAAAAAATTAACAGTGCTAAATCCCTAAACTTAGAGAAAAATAGAATATACTATATTTTCATTTAGTCCCTTAGGGGCCACAGTATCCAGCTTGTAGATCCAAAACGCTTCTCGCTGTAATAAAGCTTCAGATCTGTCACCCCCACGGGCAAGAGGGGGGACATGATCAATCGCTATAAATCTTAATGTAGGCAGATGATGTTGTGCTGCCAAAAAATGTTTGGCGACTGGTTTTTCTGTTTTATTATCTTGGAAAGCTGTCATAAGCTGTCATAATTCCAGAGCGATGACCACGTATGCGATCTCGTAATGTCAAATCAGTTTTTCCTATATAGGAAAGTCCACACGGGCAGGTAATCATGTAGATAACATGGTCAGTGGTACAAGTAATGTAATGAGATATAGGTATACGTTTGCCGCTTTGTGGGTGGCTGAATGTTGTACCACTGATCATGTGACTGCATGTCACACAACCGGAGCATTTGTAGCATCCTTTCTTTTTGATAGTCGATTGTCTTTTGTAGCATTGAATAGGGTCACTTTTCACTAATAAATCCCGAAGATTTATTTCTTTTATAGCTTATAATCGGCTTTTCTTGAAATATATGAGGAAGATTGCAATCCGCCTCGAGAATGTCCCAATGTCTTTGTATCGAGTCTCTCATTTTCAATGTACCAGTGTGGAAAGTTATCGGTAAAAAAACATTATTATGTGATTGTAGCTTGGTCTTAACTGTAGTGATTTTTTCATCATCAAATCGTTTAACAGCTTGACTCTTGGCTTTATCCAATACCCGTGGGTGATAGCCTCGTGCAAGAAAACGATCATACATCTCTTGAAGTTGTAGATCCCTAGAAGATATTTCACTGTTATAGCGAAGTACCCTAAGAAACTGTGATATGGGTAAAGCATCCTTCAGATGTTGGGGATGGAAGCTAGTCGCCAAGAGAAGTGTATTACGATCAGTCTGTTTCCTATATAACGTATAACATAATTTATGTTTATCCACATGTTTGTATACCAAGACATCCAAGTATTGTATAGATGTTGCATGCCCTGTTGGTGTAAGTATAATGGGTATCGGTGAGGAATTAACGGTTTAAACCATATTCTTTAGTTACTCTATTGTACCATCCCAAATAAGAAAAATATCATCCACATACCGAATGTATGTCAAGATCTTGTATTGATATACCGGTAGAATGTATTTATTTTCAAACCAAAACATAAAAGAATTTGCATATGAGGGCGCCATAGCCGCCCCCATAGCTGTGCCTGCTATCTGAAGGAAAAATTGTTCCTCAAATTTAAAATAATTGCAAGTGAGCGCAATAGAAAGAAATTCAATAAGATATTCTATGGGAGGACCTTTATACATGTCTGAGCTACATAACATTTCTCGGGCAGCTTGAATACCAAGATCATGAGGTATGACGGTATATAAACTTTGTACGTCAAGTGTGACAAGAAGAGTATCCCTGTCGTTGGGTAAATGTATCTGTCGAATATGTTCTAAAAATTCAGGTGTGTCTTTCAAACAGGTCGGAAGTTCTTTCACCAAATTCTTAATGTAGTAATCCACATATTGTGCAATTGGTTCGATAATATAATATTTGCAGACACAATGGGTCTGCCCGGTGGATTTACAGAATCTTTATGTAATTTCGGAAGTGTGTAAAGCACCAGGTGTCTAGGAAATGGTACATGAAGAAAAGCAGCTGTCTTCTGATCTAAATATCCAGCGTGTAATCCAAAATTGATGTGGTCATCAATAATTTTTTGAAATTTATGTATAGGATCAAAAGTGAATCTGCGATATGTCGTCTCATCATTCAGCTGGCGGAGAATCTCCAGTTTGTATTTAGTATACGCCTGAATTACTATTGCACCGCCTTGGTCGGCCGGCCTGATGACAATAGAAGGATCTCGCATTAAATCCATTAGTGCTGATTTTTCTTCTTTTGTTAAATTGTATCTGTGTTTAGGTGGTCTCTCGGATATTTGCAATACATCTTTATGGACCGCTTGGGTAAACGTTTTAATTGAGCTATTATTGCTATATATCTCCTTTTTACTTCTTAATGTAAACGGATGATCTTGTGTCTTTTTATATCTTTCCGGATTTCATTCATACATAGAATTCTCTGGAGCTTATACATTTCTTTTTGAACTTGAAAATGATCTGGTTTACAGACCGGAATAAATGTGGTCCCTTATTAAGAACTGATAGATGATATGGATTCAGCTCTTTACCTGACAGATTATATACAGGCGTCATCGCTTCTTTATAGGAGGTTTGGCGTTGTAATTTGTATTTCTTCTGCCCTCTTCGTATGGGCTTGTTCCTTTTACGCCTTGGGTACGTGTTTCAGATCACACAGGTGGATCGTTGGTGTGTGCACCCTTGTCTAAAAAAGATAGTTTTGGATGTGTGTTGTACCTCTTTGCTTTCCGCATCAGATGCCGACTCCCCTGAACTCATATCAGTCGTTTGAAAAGAAGGTTTACGTATACGCGATTTAAATTTAGGATATGTATATCTAGTAGGTTCAGACCCACTAAGCACTCGACTATCCACCTGATTGGAAACCTGATCAGTCAAGGCAACCTTCTTCTATAGCTCCATGGTCCAATTCTGATGCTCACCTCCCCATTGAAGGCACTTTTCGACAGAGGACAAAGGTAATCATGGGCACTCTGACCAGTCCTCAGCTACAAAGCCCCATACGGAATAATCAGTGATGCACTGTATGTAGCATTCATGTTTCTGCTACAGTAGCTCTTCACTCCCCAAATGCATCAATGAACCTCAGGCGCACATGACCCTGGTTCACCAGTTGTCCTTCCTTGCCTCACTTTTGGTTGGTATTAACCAGTGCATACTTGTGAACACACCACAAGATGTGCCATTTTGAAGATGCTCTGACTCAGTCATCTAGCTATCACTATATGACCTTGTTAAAGTCACTTAGATCATCTTTTTGCTTGCCCATTTTTCCTGGTTCCAACACATGAAATTCAAGGACTGTTCACTTGCTGCATAATATATCCGACTTTTATACAGGTGCCATTGTTACTATATAATCAATGTTATTCACTTCACATGTCATGGGTTTTAATGTTGTGATTGATCAGTAAATGCCCAACTTTGCCACTGGTGATGAGATTGAAAAGAATACTGAGCCAGATAGTAAAAGGTGCAAATGTGATAATTTTATTTGAATTGAACAAAAAATACAATTTCACCATGTCACATTTCTGTAAATTCTTTATTTTGTCATACAGGTGAGTGCAATAAACATAAGCAAACGCTACAACAGCGTACGTGTGCGTGTGAACAAATCGAGCATTAGTTTTGATAATACAAGTGTTGATCATGCGACCATGTCACATTTCAATAAATCCACAGGATGTTATGTCTATTACAAAACCAACACATGAAGGGGTAGAATGCTCTGAAGCCTTCTTGCAAAATACACAAATGTATACCTCGCTATTTGAAAGCAATACACGAGTTACATACATTATAGTATATAGTGAGAATGCCTCAAACATATTCACCTACCCATGACTAGCACAACACTAACCACTGGTTTTCAGAATCTGAAGGATTAAGTTTACAGGGTAAATTTCCAAAAGTAGAATGTATACCAGCTATGACAAACGTGCAATGCCAGCACCTGCAAATCAGGGGTTAATGAACGATGATCAGAGTTGGAGTGAAATATTTTTACTGTATTATTTTTCATTAGGCACGAGCGACCTTGAAAACTATAATAGTACGGAGTACGTAGCATTTTACATCATGTATGGTCAGTAATTTGTTACCTTTCATTAGCACCAAAAGTACCATAAGAGACAAACTACATGTTCAAGCATTTCCATTTCTGACCATGAAACAGTAATGTTCATGGCAGTGATGGGTAACTGTTGGCACCGCTGTTGTGGATTATGCTCAGACAGCCCTCAAAAAACAAATGCCACAATAGCTGGAGTGACTAACTTATTAACCAGTTACACTGGTTAATTTCAGTGACAAGTTGGCAGACATGTGGACACTTATACATATGTCTGGCACACCAGAATCTGCAGATGCAAATTTGCAACATGGACCACTGTCATGGAGTGAATGAAACAAAAAAGGGCAGTGTACCTCAAAAAAAAAAAAAAAGGGAACTAGGAAACAAAAAGTATACTATATACAGAATATACAATATTCCTGTTAGGATGCCAGGAATACCAATGCCAGACTTGGCAACAAGAAAATAACAAAAAATGTATTAACAGGAAAAAAAAAAGACAATACTAACTATCGCTAACAAAATCCTCACATACATACATACATGCTAATACTGCCAGTATATGTGGAGTGGACAGAACAGAGATTGCCATATAGATAATGGCTAGTCTCTATGCATTACCAAGTTAAACAGATAATGGCAAATTAATGACTGTCCACAGATACTTGCAGAGGAATAGAGCGTGTACCGAGTAAAAATTACACGTCTGTATGCGGTTATCACAGATAATGTGCTATAGTCACAGGGTAGTAGTAAGTATAGTATGTTGACATAGATCTGCTGTCTAAGTATTTTTTGTTACAGTTTGCTGGTAAAAGCTCGAGTTAACCCCTGAGTTGCTTATAGGTACAGGAGCTCCAGTCGCTATATTAAAAAACTAGATCCACTGCCTAATCTGGAAACACACGACTTGCTGTCAAGGCTTGAGTTAACCCCTGAATTGCTGCTGAGAAACCTGGCATTCTCTGTTTAACTTGGTAATACATGGAGACGAACCATTACGTTTTTGGCAATCTCTATTCTGTCCACTCCACATATACTGGCAGTATTAACACGTATGTACATGGGCACTTTAGGATTTTGTTAGCAATAGTTAGTATTGCCTTTTTTTTCTGTTAATAGATTTTTTTTATTATCTTCTTGTTTCTTTTTGCCAATTTTGGCATTGGTATTTCTGGCATCCTATTAGGATTATTGCATATTCGGTATATAGTATACTTTTTGTTTCCTAGTTCCTTTTTTGAGGTACACTGCTCTTTTTTGTTTCATTTGTTCTTCACCAGGGGTTATCCCCCATAATTAGGCTCTTTCTTTTCTCTTCTTCTGTTCCACTATCATGGAGTGTTTTATTGTTTCATTTTGGAATCATCTTTAAATGGTATAAAATAGTTAATAATTTAGTATTAGCTTTTCATGCATAAAGCATTATTTATGATAGCATCCTATTAAAGCACCAATGCGTACAGCGTCTTTAACCCACTCAATGCCAGATGTTGCTTTTATCTGGATGCTCAATCAATCCCTGAGTAGTTCCTTGGTTTGTAATATTCTATAAACATACTGTCACACCCTAGTATGGATACCGAAGGGTGGAAACAAGCTGAAAAGTTAACCATCAACCATACCATACAATTTAGTCTATATATTATTTATTTGTTATATATATATATTATGGACAACTATAAAAAACAAAACAAAAAAAAAACTAAGAAAAACACATAATTTAGTTATTGGAAACTGTTGGGGTCAAAGAAGTGAAACATTCAGGCTCATTTGACACTAAATCATAAAAAAAGTAATAGAAATACAGAAAAACATATAGCATTTACAGTACGTTACAGCTATACAGTTAATTGAAAAAGATTCCCAAACCTGTTCTCAATATTCCTACACAGCCCTCTCTCTATGTGCACCGTTGGCTTCAATCACAGAAGCTTTATTTTACAAGTTTCCTAAATTCCCACTTTATGGATAGCGACATTACTAACACAATTATTTTCTTTACAAAGTGCAAACACATTCTGCAGCACTGTACAACCATTCACTCTCTATATAAAAAGATATCTACATTGATTTATACTTCTCTAATGATAAATGGCCCCAATAAACCATACCTGGATTATTTCCTGCTGGGTCTGCAGCTAAATAGTTTTAAAAATAACAAAACAGACTATTCCAACAATAGGGTCAGTGTATGGGGGAAAGCTGCTATGTGGACATGTGACTTGTTTTATTTTAAAAAGGAGGAAAAAGTTTTTTAAAGAGACCCCCCCCAATATTGTTTTTCTTCCCCTTTCTATGAGGGGAGTACAGGGGATGTTATAACCCAAACAGGAAATACGTAGAGCAAATATCACCAGTCCCACAAATTCAGACTCATGACCAACAAGAAAGCCTCAAACACTTTTTGCACTTTTGCAAAATCCAGTTTTCCAAAATCTATACTATTCATTATTTAAACCCAATTATTCCCAATTTTAGGTCTTTACTCGTACCTGAAAGTCAATACTCAGAAAAAAAACCTCTATTATGTGACTGTTTACAACCTGTCTTTTGAACTATACTAATGGAACTAAAGGAGAATCTCATTAGACTGGACTGAAAAAAATTAAATCAAATAAAAGTCGTGTAATCTTAACATATCTTCTAGCATACTTGTTTAATGTCACCAGGACGTTCCTGTTAACTTTAGTTTTACACTAACTTGTAAGGGTTCAAATCTTATTCCCACATACTGCCAGCTATTATTTGCTGAATTAGATCACTGACAGTATATATTTCCATTGTAAACTAGTTTTTTAAAATTTTAGTCTTAACAGATCTGTGACATACAGAGCGCAGTTCCATCTTTTTTACTGGATATTACGTAACCGAGAATTTATCCCAATAAATGGATCCTCTAGACCAGGCCTGCACAACCTGCGTCTCCCCAGATGTTTTGAACAGCAACTCCCGTGATCCCCTGGCTATCTGTTTAATTAAAAAAACATGGGTGTTGGCTGTTTCATTAAATGAATCATGTGCGTCGGCTTTTTGTTTTATTCACAGGATCATGGGAGTTGTAGTTCAAAAACATCTCGGGGCCGAAGTTTGTGCAGGCCTGCTCTAGATTGTTAACTTGTCTGAGCAGGGTCCTCATCAACCTATTATTCATGTAACATTTTGTACATTTATTGTTAAAATGTCCCCCTTTTATTATATTGTAAAGCTCTACGGAATAAGTTGGCGTTATATAAATCCTATTATAATAATGGCAACTTATCCTTATAAAGTCCTGTTTGCACTGTGCAGTTACAAATCAAATTTTACTAAAGTTAACAGTAATAACCCAGAGACATTACTCCAAGAACACTACCAGATATTCCATTCACTTTGAAAACAATAGCATTCTTTTTTTTCCCAATACTCCGAAAGTTGTATAAACTAAATAGAAACATCTAAAACATTTCAATAAGTTGATTATGTGAGAAAATGGTAAGTTCAAGAGCTAAGAGTAACTGAAACATCAAATGTTTTCACCAGCCACATCTGAGTCCTATGAAACAATTCTCATAAAATGCCAACTTGAACATCTACCTTTTGTCTTCCTCCCAACATCATAGGTTAACTAAATCAACCCACTTGTTGATTGTAGATACATATCAAACCAGAAGAGTTCAGTAAGGATATAACAATGTGAAAAAATTAACCCCTTAAGGACCAAACTTCTGGAATAAAAGGGAATCATGACATTTCACATATGTCATGTGTCCTTAAGGGGTTGAAGGACCATTAACACTGTTTGGGTCCCTTAACTGGCCTGGATGACAAGCTACCTTTAACAGATATACGAGTGAAAGCAATATTGTAGTGTAGGAAAACGAGTTTGTTTTCATGGCACTATAGTGGTCCTTTAAAGGATACTCATGGCACTATAGTGCAAACTCGTTTTCCTGGCACAATAGGGTCATTAGGTCCCCCCACCCTCATGGTTAAAACCCCTTCAGCCACTTACCTTTCTCCAGCGCCGGGGAACTCTCCTCCTCCTGCCGACGTCAGTGCAAAATGTGCATGCCGCGCGCACATTCAAACCAAGGAAAGTATTACTCAATGCTTTCCTATGGACGTCAGCGTCTTCTCACTGTGATTTTCACCGTGAGAATCGCGGAAATGGTTAAAACTAGAAGGACCTGGCACCCAGACCACTTAATTGAGCTGAAGTGGTCTGGGTGCCTATAGTGGTACTTTAAGCATTTTTAGTTCCAGTACAGAACTGTAGCAACATATCACTGCTAACAGTACAAACATGTAGACAGACAGAATAGAGAACTTCAAACACAGTAGTGAATTAAAACAGTATTCTTATCTATACATTTTCCACTTGATTGTAGCTTTATGTCTACCTACATCTACAACTGAGGGTGGGGGGTGGAGGAGGGGAGAAGAGCAACAAAAAGATGGAGATGGAACTGTGTGATGAATAATACAGGGAAGAGGCAAGGGAGGTGCTACCTTGAAGGAAATAAGAATTGGAAATATTCCCAGGTATAACCAACAGATTAATAAAATGGATACAATTCATGTTATATGCATTTCTAAGAAAATAGTGCAAGTATGGAGTGCTTGTGACCCATAGAACGATCTCTCTGAGGGGATGGTCATGGTTGTCTTGGGGCCTCTTAGGTACGAGAGACAAGTGCTTTTAAATCTGAAAAACAGGAGGAATAAAAGGAATGTCAATCAAAATGGGTAAATGTTTAAATTCATGCAATCAATTTTTCTAGAGAAACATCAACTGCTTAAATAATTTCTGTAACCCCTCTTAAACATGTATTTAAAAATAAAATAAAAAAAAGTTGAACTTCTATATTAGGCATTATCAATAGAGCCCCCGCCCCGATCTCCCTCCTTGGTCTGATGTCAGCAGGGGGCCCTTGCACAGTGCAGCCAAAAGCATCTCAGAGATAAGTCTGTGATTGCACCATTTCGCAGTCTCAAAGTGCATGTGCGCAATCTAAGCCAGCAAAAAAGGCAGTGAGGGTGCACAGGGAAGGAAAAAAAAGGGGGGGGGGAGGGGATTTCAAAACCTAATGTAGGGAGACAGTAAGTGGAGTGGGTGGAATAAGTGAAGATAGGGTAAATACAGGCTTTCCCTCGTAGGGGTAGATATTGATCACTTCTGTTGCCAGCACACACTGTGCGCGGGCAACAGTCTTAAAATATGTACAGAATTATCATTAGGCAGCCCGAAACAGTACTATAAGCTAGGAAAAGATCAAATAGATCACACTAGATAGAATAAAGTGTAAATAGATTCTAAAAACTCAATCGATAAATAGCTCATACAACTTACTAGTGTTTCTATAACAATTGTACTCCTACATTTCAGGGGGCTGCGTGACTGGTGAAACGCGTGTCGCGGCTTTGAATCAAGTTAGACTTGCTGGACAGTCATCCTTACCGATTATGAATATACCTACCGTATTTATCGGTGTATAACACGCACCTCATTTTAAGAAGAAAATTTCAGGGGAAAAAAACTTAAATTTCAAATAAAGAACTTCTTACCCCCCTTTCTTACTCCCCCCTCTTTTTACCCCCCTTTCTTACTCCCCCTCCCCTCTTTTACCCTCCCTCTCTTACCCCCCTTTCTTACTCCCTTCCCCTCTCCCCCTCCCTCCCCTCCTACCCCTTCTTACTCCCCCTTCTTACTTCCCCTTCCCCCTTCCTTTCTTACTCCCTTTCTTACCCCTTCTTACTTCCTCCCTCTCTTACCCCTTCTACTCCCCCTCTTCTTACCCTCCCCTCTTCCCCCTCTCCCCTCTTTTACCCTCCCTCTATTTACCCCCCTCCCCTGTAGCGTGGCCGAGCTGCTCTGCTGTCCGCGGTGGCCGGCCGGAGTGATAGGAAGGTGCACGCTCAGTGTGCACCTTCCTGTCAGTCCGACCGGGTACAGGAAACAGAAACTCCTGTTCCGCGCGGAACAGGAGTTTCTGTTTCCTGTACCCGGTCGGACTGACAGGAAGGTGCACACTGAGTGTGCACCTTCCTATGACTCCGGCCGGGCACCGCGGACAGCAGAGCAGCTCGGCCACGCTACAGGGGAGGTGAGAACCAACTGCAGCCGCCTGAGCGCTCTTGACAGAGCGCTCAGGCGGCTGCAATATTTAAAGGGTCGGCGTATAACACGCACCCATAATTTCCCCCCTATTTTCAGGGAGAAAAAGTGCGTGTTATACGCTGATAAATACGGTAACTATAACTTATTTAGGATTTACTTACTATATTTTTTTCCAAGCCTTCTTGATTCAAATTTATGTATTGTAAATAGCTAGCTAGATCAATTATTAATTTATAGCACAGGTGCCCTCGAAGGCACAGCTTAGATCTTGGGTTTCCTGTAGCTTTGATATCTAACATATCATTTTATAGCTATTTACTTGGCTAATAGGCGCTCACTGCCTTATCTCTACTACTTTTGCTTAGACTCTATGTTTTAGCCGTGTGTTATTGTGACATTTTAGATAATCACCCACCCCCCTCCTCCCTTTTTTTGGTTCTGGTGTATACCTCTATTTTTGGACGTTTTCTTTCAAGGCAATATTTTAGTTTGTCTATCTGAGCAGTTCTTTAATCGGCTATTCTAAATATTGCATATAATGTTTCTATAGCAATTATACTGATACATTTTAGATACTTTGCACCCTATTTTCTTTTGCTATTTGGAACGTCTAACACTACTGATACATTGTGTGCAGTAAGTTGTACGAGCTATTTATTAGATAGGGAGTGCATCTATTTACCCCTATCGATTATCACTCTAAAGATTGAGTTTACACTTTGTTCTATCTAGTGTGCTCTATTTGACCTTTTCCTAGCTAATGGTATTTATATATATTGTGATCTTTTAAACTATATTCATATTAATAAAAGTTAAGTTTTATTTTAACGTTATATTTTTTCACTACTCCTTTTTCTGTCATAGTAATTATATCTTCCTATATTACATATTTACATTATAAGTGTTATAATGTTGTATAGAGATCTAGTATTTAATATTTCTTTCAACATCAATGTTTAATTATTGTTTTATAGCTTACCAATATGTTAGAGGCAGCTTTATACCGAACATTTATTTGTTTAAGTATCTGTAATATATTGTATTATGTTCCCCAAGTTCACTATACTTCACTATCGAGTGCAACTGAGAAAGTTGTTACTGGGTAAAAAAGGGTGCATATTGGCTTAGCTACAGAAACAAGTTCTTTTGCCAAGAAATTGTATGACTTTAGGAAGAGAAAGAAATGTTAAAAACTAGTAAATTAATATTTTTTTAACTGCATTGTTTAAATGCATTCAAGAATATATGCATTTATGCCAGGATAAAACGCCATCTCAATGTGAAGAAACTGGATCTCCCCCAGAACCATCTTTCCTACTTTCCTAATATCCGACATGCCAAAGTTGTCTTGTCGCTCAGCTCATTTTCTTTATCACCTATCACCATTATTTTTACGTGAAAGCTCACTTTGTGTTCCAGGCGCTGGTATTCTCCAGAATTTGGTCGTCTGCCTCCTCTTGAGCGTTTTCCTTCTAATGCAAATGCAATGATCTTGGGGAGCAGAAAAGAAAAAAAATTAAGTACTGTCACTAATCGTTGGTTTTTACTTTCCACAATCATTAGCAACTATGCCTTTTCATATGTGAATAGGTGGTTACAGATAGCAATATTTCCTCAATCTGTTTTTCTTCATCATCTTGACATGTAACACCTACTAATCTCCATCTACAAATCCTTTAAAACCATTATGTGACAACCCCTTCTTATACCATTTTGATGTCCTCATTCCCCTCTGCTACATTAAAGGGTTACTCAAAGCAACATGATGACTTCTGTGATTTGCAGTGGTCATGCTGCATGGAGTCTGTATATCCAGCGTTTCGCTTTAAAATGCTGCACATACGCCTTGGCTGCCAGAGGTGTAACTTCCTATCCGACAGCGTCGTAAGTCAGCCCAGAATAAAGTTACGGGATGGCTAACGTGAATTATGTACAAAACTGGCAGCAGACACAGCATGCTGGCGCCAAACAGCCAATGGAGGAATGCCCCAATTTTAGTCGACTAATTATTTTGAGATTTAGTCAACTAAAACTAGACTAAAACAATTCAGACGACAAAAATACGACTAAAACTAAAATGGCTTTTTAGTCAAAAGACTAGATAACTAAAATTAAATTGAAATTTGCTGCCAAAGTTAACACTGCTATGCCCCTAAACTACCACATTAAAGGAATACTGTGGGCACCATAACCACTGCAAATCATTGAAATGTAAATGGTGCATGGAGTCTGCGTACACTGTCCACCACTACCCTTTCAAACCACTATCATACCAATTAACTAGGATTCCAGGGAACCACAGTGCTCGAAGCCCAGCCTCCAAAGACTATTGGGCAAAAAAAGAGTACGTCAGCTAACCAAGTCATAGGAGACAATGATAGACTAAGAACCTATAAGTGATAGCATGCCAAGATGGATTGAGAATGTCAATTGACACACTCAGCTTATTACTGCATAGCGGGCATAGCTACTCTGTCTGTGAAAATACAGTCACTTGGGCCCATGATGTGAGTGTTGAGGGTCCCTGCATAATGGTGCGATAAAGGTGTGACAGAGATACAAGAGATATCACCAGTAGAGTCCACACAATATAGCCACTTAAATGAGTTGAAATGGCTACAGTGCCTATCGTGTCCCTTTAAGATATAGTTGTTTTGGTGCTTACAGTGCCCCTTTAGCAATCACCAGCATATATTGTCATTAGAAACTTGACTGGGTAAGACATTGGCATATTGAAATCTGCCTTGTGAGTACTGATTTTGCAACACTCTTCACTAGTTTTAAAGTTCTAACTTGTGAATGTTAGCACTTAGTAAATTAAACTTAAAATAAATAAAATAAAATTTATGAAAATTAAAAAAAATCTTCAGGAGAAAAAAAAGTCTTAGTTAAATGGCATTTAATAAAGAACGTTACCTTGCGTTTATTGTGATAAGCGATGTACAGTACAGCCACTAGGATGGCGGAAGTAACAAGGTAGGTAAAGAAATGGCTGCTTTCCGATTCATTAAGGGGTACTTCATTTAGGATCACATCATTTTTCTTAATGCTCTTCAGATCTGTGTCTGAGTTATTTGGCTCATCTAGGTCATCATTGTCTATATCTTCTTCATCCTTTCGCTCATTATGATCTGTGTCTTCCTCTAAATTTGGAGACTTCCTAGGATCGTCTGGATCCATTACTCCAGCATTTTCTTCATAATCTTCATTATTAGAATTCTGATTGTTCTCTTGGGCATTCTCCTCTTCATCTTGGTCTAAAGTGCTCTCTGGCAGGCTGCCCTGGGACTGCTGCTCCTTGCCAGTCACCGGGGGCTGCTGCTGCTCCTTGCCAGCAACCGGGGGCTGCTGCTGCTCCTTGCCAGCAACCGGGGGCTGCTGCTGCTCCTTGCCAGCAACCGGGGGCTGCTTCTCCTCCTTGCCAGCAACCGGGGGCTGCTTCTCCTCCTTGCCAGCAACCGCGGGCTGCTTCTCCTCCTTGCCAGCAACCGCGGGCTGCTTCTCCTCCTTGCCAGCAACCGCGGGCTGCTTCTCCTCCTTGCCAGCAACCGCGGGCTGCTTCTCCTCCTTGCCAGCAACCGCGGGCTGCTTCTCCTCCTTGCCAGCAACCGCGGGCTGCTGCTCCTCCTTGCCAGCAACCGCGGGCTGCTGCTCCTCCTTGCCAGCAACCTGGGGCTGCTGCTCCTTGCCAGCAACCGGGGGCTGCTGCTGCTGCTCCTTGCCAGCAACTGAGGGCGGCTGCTGCTGCTCCTTGCCAGCAACCGAGGGCTGCTGCTGCTGCTCCTTGCCAGCAACCGAGAGCTGCTGCTGCTCCTTGCCAGCAACCGAGGGCTGCTGCTGCTCCTTGCCAGCCACCAGGGGCTGCTCCGGCTCCTTGCCAGCCACCAGGGGCTGCTCCTGCTCCTTGCCAGCCACCAGGGGCTGCTCCTGCTCCTTGCCAGCCACCAGGGGCTGCTGCTGCTCCTGGCCAGCCACCGGGGGCTGCTGCTTCTCCTTGTCGTCTGAGGCCTTCTGTGCCGTACTATCTTTTTCCTCTGATTGAGAGAGATTTAACTTTGTTACTTATAATTTTGACAAAGAAAACATGCATTTAATTAACAAAGCAATAGTATACCTTAAAGGATAACTATAACGGTAGGAATACATGCTGCTATAGCGTTCTACTTTTAGATTTATTTCCCACGGTCTGCCCATCTTTGTGAATCCGCCCCCATCCATTGGCTGAGGTCATCTCTACAAATAATCTCAGCCAATCTAATGCTTCCCCATAACTGTATGAGTCCTTTTAATTCAAGGTGAGCCAGCCAGGCATATGCATACAAATGTGTACTCAAATATAATCTCAGATGTATTTGGAAGCACAGCTCCAGGATATCACAGATTCCAGCTACTTAGTTAACCCCTTAAGGACCAAACTTTTGGAATAAAATGGAATCATAACATGTCACACATGTCTTGTGTCCTTAAGGGGTTAAAGGAACTTATGTATGGGATGTAAGGATAGATGTATTTAAAATATTATTATAATGTGGAAATAAACTGAAATAAAACCAAAAATAACTTGTTAGAGAATGTGTGCGTGTGTGAGTTTGAGTGTGTGTGCGCATCTGCCAGCGTATGCCTGCCTGCATGCACGCTTCTGTCTCCCTGAAAGCCACTGGAGGCCCTTTCTGCAATTCTCAGTTAGAAAATCGCATTGACCTCACGCAGCGCATAGAAAATCGCATTTAACTCAATGCTTTCCTATGGGCGGTTTGAATGCGCATGCTCATTCGGCTCCACTTAGGAGCTGACGTTGGCTGGGGGAGGAGAGCTCACCAGCGGCGAAGGAGCCCGGCGCCTCATTAAGGTAAGGGGCTGAAGGAGTTTTAACCCCTTCAGACCAGCGGGGGGAGGGAAGGGGGACATAACAACCCTATAGTGCCAGGTAAACGGGTTTGTTTTCCTGGCACTATAGTGCTCCTTTAACCCATTAAGCACTGAGCCAAATGTACACGTTGTGATCAAAACAAAACGTAAACAAAACCTTCAATTTGCGCTAAATGTCTGTTCAGGCGTAGTTCATCTCTTTCATATTATGTGCACCAACACTTATGATATATGATTTTATTCAGGGGAAACAGGGATTTCATTTATCATCAAATATTTAGGTATGAAACATAATTTAACATGAAAAAAATATTTAAAAATGGGAGGAAATAAGAATTTTACCACATGACAGGAGGCTTCATATTTGCATAACTCTCTCTACTAAATCTCCAGCAGCACAGAAACAGTAACAACCAATCAGAAAAAAAGTCAGATGATACATAAAAGACCCTGACAGTTACATCACTTCCTCTTTCTTTGCTGCTCCAGCCTGGCACAAGTCAGAGTATTTATTTCTCCTTTGGTTTATTATTCTTAACGATAATTTCTATTGGTTTTTTTTTTTTTTTTTTACTATTTACTATTTTGATCTACTATTCCCTGGCTTCCCCTATACCTGTCTTTTTTATATGTCTTAGATATTTATTCTTTTCACTGTGTTTCCAGCCATAGCCCTCTGTTGTTACTTGTGCTTCCCAGCCCCTCTTGGTCTGCGGGCATCGCGGCTGCCAGTACTGCGCTTGTGCCGCGGGTCAGTGGGGGGATACTACTGTGGGGCCAGTAGGCTTGGGTTTCGGGCTGGGGGGTGTAGACCAGGACGCTTTGCAGCGGGTTTTTTGGCGGGCTTGCTTACAGTTGCGCGATAGCGGCGGCCATCTTGGATCTTGCGGGTACCGCAAGATTCATGGCGGCTATCTTCTGTCTTTATTCCAGATCGGAATACAAACAATCTGTTTTTTAAAGGACCTACTGGACTGGTTTGAAGAGGTACCTCTTTAACTCTAAGGATTACTGCATTATTCTGTCAAACTAAAATATTTGATTTAGGATTCAGTCGCTGTTCTCAATTAATAGGTGGCTTTTTCTCAAAGGAAACGGAGTGTATATGTTACAGTTAAAGTGCAGAAATCAGTAGATGTGCACATTACCTAGTTAATCTGCAGATTAACTAGGGCGATCAGTTAAAGTGCAGAAAATGATTTTGTTTCTCCAATATTTCTCACATTACCTAGGTAATCTGCAAATTACGTAGATAATCTGCACATTACCTACTAGGCACTCGTTAAAGTGCAAAAAAATTATTCTGTCCTCCATCTCTTAGGGGCACACAGCTCTGGAGGACACCATGGTGTGCACAGGCTGCTGTTCTGTTCTTGTCTGGACCACATAGTCACATACCTCTTCAAACAGTTATCCCGAACTGGTAAGAAACGAGGAGCCCCCACCACCACAAGAGAGCGAGGGCTTCCTGCACAATATGCAGCAACACCCTGAAATGATCCCAGCAGATGCTCTCCACTGTTCTCAATATCATCATATATTTGAAGACTATCGGAATCAGTGGTCCATGAGCAGACCCCTCCTTGGTCTCATTCTCCTCAATGAGAAGTATTTCTCGGACTTACGGTGCAGCATTGTTAGTAGCCAGCCCCCTCTGAGAAGCAACAAGCCATGCGTCTATGCTTTGAGAAGTTGATGGTGGAGGGCATTGAAAGGAACTTGCTCACAAAAGAATCCAGACGAGAAGTGAACGACTCTGCAGAGACTGCACTGAAAGGGTGAAACAGATTCTGCTGCGAGGACGTTTTGTAATAAATAATTTCCTCTTTACCGAGGGAAACAAACTTTTGCACTGAAAGCAGGGCCGCCATCAGGGGGTGACAACCATAACGGTTGTCATGGGCCCTGCGGTCCTCTCTGCACATATATATAGCGAAGATCTTATATGTGCAGCCGTGGGCCCCCGGCTCCCTATACTTGCAGAGGGGGCCCAGCGGACTGCAAGCGTACTTACAAGCTCTTCCCTCTCTGTAACTCCCGCGAGACCCACGGCCGTCAGAGCGTTGCCACGGGTTACCATGGCAACACGCCGCGCTCCTGGGAGTTACAGAGAGGGAAGAGCTTGTAAGTACACTTTAAGTCCGCTGGGTCCCCTCTGCAAGCATAGGGAGGCGGGGGCCCACAATGCCACCAGTCACTGCATTCAGAACACTGACACACACACACTGCATTCAGAACACTGACACACACACTGCTTTCACTGCACTGACACACACTCTGCTTTCACTACACTGACACACACTCTGCTTTCACTACACTGACACACACTCTGCTTTCACTACACTGACACACACTCTGCTTTCACTACACTGACACACACTCTGCTTTCACTACACTGACACACACTCTGCTTTCTTTTTTTTCAATTTGACAATTTTTATTGTTGATAAGAACAGGGGGGGGGGGTACAGAAGAGAAGAAGGAGGGGGTTCCGTGTTACAGTATATGTCACTCGGTACAAGGCGACATAGCGTAGTAGCATAGTAGCTTGGTAAAACAGTAATGGTTTGGACAGTGGTATTAATAATATTGTTGTTAAGAAAAATAAGCCGCACAAAATTGCTTAGTGTAATTCTAGTCAATGCGCCCACACATGGGCTGGGGAGATCTGTGTAATTTGGAGTATACTTCCCCATGCGTAGCCTAATCCTATGCTCTTTCGCTTTGCGAACACAGTGGGTCAATACAATGCATACATGTTGCTATGGTACAGGAATGAGTCGCCTTACTCAGGGTTTGCCAATCTCCACGCGTCCCACACATCCCATGCTGTCGTCCCTGTACGGGTGGGTGGGCATATATTCGTGAAGCAACGCTCATAGAGCCTCTGCTCAGCTATTTCTGAGAGTACGTTTTGTATCTTAGGAGTGGTTGGAGATTTCCAGGCCCGCGCTATAAGGCGTTGAGCCGTTAGTGTTGTGTGGAAAAATAGTTTTTGGAGGAACTTAGGAGTGTGGGGGGGAGTGTGCAGTAGCAGGTACGTGAGCGGGTCTAGGGGCAGTGTAAGTTTCGTGAGGTCTTGTAGGAAGGAGTGCACTGCTTCCCAAAAGGGTTTTATCAGTGAGCACGTCCACCAGATGTGTAAAACTGATCCGGTGTGTTCCCGACATCTCCAGCAGGTGGATGAAGCGGCGGGGTACATTTTAAAAAGCCGCTCCGGGACCATGTACCATCTGTAAATCATTTTTTTGTTCTGCTCCAGTAACGGTGCTGATTTAAGGAGGGTTTTGGGTGCGGTAGATAAAGTGTTCCACTCTTTGTGAGTGAGCTCAATGGTCAGATCTTCTGCCCATTGTCTAGCTGGCGTGGCCTCTGAGAGAGGTGTGAAGTCTAATAGCAATTGGTAACACGTGGAGATTGGCTTACATAGTGGGGGTAGTTTTTTATTTATACACATTTTTTCCCGTGTTGTAAGTTGGTCGGTGGCGGTTTGGCTGGGCGGTACTTGTGTAGCTTGTTTGTGCAGGAAAGAATGAAGTTGTCTGTAGGAAAAATGAGATGTCAGGGGGACACCGTGGAGTGAGTGTAGGGTGTGAAAGTCTAGGAGCTTTGAGTTAGCATGGAATTGGCCTAAGTGTTGGAGCCCCTTCTCCTGCCACGGTTTAGCGTAGAAGGTGGGAATGCAGTATGTGAGAGCCGCTGTCGGTGTGGCTGGGGACAGAGGGCCGCTGGAGGTCAGCTTATGTCTGTGTGCGTCCCAAACTCGTATGAGTAGGGCGAGTTGGGGAGGGATATCTTTTAGGGGGGGGCGAAGCTGTTGCGGGAGCCATAGTATGTGGGTGATGTCATACGGAGTCATCATGAGCTTCTCAAGCCTGACCCATTGCGGGGGGCTTTGGTCAACAAAATGGGGGATGGCTGCTGCTAATATGGATGTGTGGTAATAGGTACGCACGTCAGGGACTGCTAAGCCTCCTGCTCTAGCTGGAGCTCGTAGGAGCTTCATTGAGATGCGGGGTTTACCCTTGTTCCAGATGAAGTTGGTGATATCGCTCTGAATCGCTTTAAAATAGGATTGTGGCATTGGTAATGGGAGGTTCCTAAAAATGTATTGTAACCTGGGGAGTATGGACATCTTAATCGCCACTATTCTCTCAGTCCAAGTCAGGAAGAGGGATCCCCATTTTGTCAGGGATTGTTTACACTCTGTCCAGACCCTGATATAGTTGGTTGCGCTTAGGTCAGCGCGGCGTCTGGAGAACATAACACCTAGGTATTTGATGTTATCCCGCCTCCATTCGAAAGGGTATGTCATGCGTAGTGTTTCCGTCACTTGGGGGGGTAGGCCAATTCCCAGGGCTTGGGTTTTTGTGGTGTTCAGTGCGTAGTAGGAGCATAGGCCATATTCCTTGATGATGTGCATAATTACAGGGATCGTGGTCATGGGATCGGTGACATAAAGAAGGATATCATCCGCGAAGGCGCTAACTTTGTAATCTGTTCCCTTAATTTGGATCCCTTTGACGTCAGGATGGTTTTGAATGGTTTGCAGGAGGGGTTCTAACGCCAACACGTACAGCAGGGGGGATAGGGGGCACCCCTGCCTCGTTCCATTGGACAACTGAAACGGGTCAGACATAAAGCCTGCCTGTAGTACCTGGGCTGTCGGACCCGCATACAGAGCAAAAATTTGTGACTCAAACTGGGGGGGGAACCCATAGGCTCTCAAGGCTTGTTGCAGGAAGGGCCAGCTTAGGCGGTCAAAAGCTTTTTCGGCGTCAAGTGCTAGTAATAGACCGCCTCCTCTGGTCCCCCTGAGGTAATCCAGGATCAGCGACAGTTTCCTGGTATTATCTGTTCCCTGTCTTCCTTGTATGAACCCTGTCTGGTCATCCCCAATAAGGGATGGCAGGACCCTATTTAGTCTATTCGTTAGGATCTTCGCATAGATCTTTGCATCTGAGTTTAGAAGCGATATAGGGCGGTAATTTTTACAGGTGTCCGGGGGTTTGTCGGGTTTCGGGATGGTTACTATGGTAGCCCGGAGCATCTCTGGTGGGAGCGCGCCCGTGGCAGTCGCCCTACGGTACACTTTTAGCAGGTGGGGGCCCAGGACGTGCGCAAATTTTTTGTAGTAGGTGTTTGGGAGCCCATCTGCTCCTGGTGACTTCCCTTGTGGCAATTTGGCGATCGTTTCAAGCACCTCTGTGAGCTCAATGGGCCTGATTAGTTGCTTCTGCCTGTACACTCGTTAGTTGGGGGAGTTTGGCTTGGGATAAAAATTGGGTTATGTCGTCTAAGCTAGCATTGTGAGTGCTGCCCTCCTCCTTTAGGTTGTAAAGTTTAGAGTAGAAATGAGCGAATTCCTGGCTAATATCCATGGGGGTAACCTTCTTTAGTCCGTCGCCTCCCACCACGTGGGCTATCTTGGAGCTAGAGCATTGATTTCGTAGCCTGGCGGCTAAGTATTTAGTGGCTTTCCCACTATTGTGGTATACATTGGCTCTCAGTTTGTGGAGCATGCGCTTGGTTTTTTCTGTATTCAGCTCTTGCATTCGTGCGTAAAGCACTCTGAGCTGTTTCGCTAGGTCAGGGGTGGGCTTAGATTTATTCTGCCTAGAGATTATAGCTATTTGCCTAAGGCAATCAAGGAGGCCGGACGTATTCTGCTTCTTTAGGAAGGCGGCTCGTCTCAAGAAAAGCCCCCGTACTACTGCTTTATGCGCCGACCAAACCGTGTAGTCTGAGACCTCTCCTGTCGCGTTCAGCGCAAAGTATGCTTGGAGTTCTTCTCTTATGTGTTCCGCAAAGGGTGCATTGGACAACAGCGAATCATTTAGACGCCAGGACCCCCGGCCCCGAAATTGGAAAGTGTCTAGTAAGTTTAGATAGACGGGACCGTGGTCTGACCAGGATATTTCCCCTATGGTGCACTGCGTGAGTTGCGGCAGTAGTGTCCTGTGTAGGAGAAAGGTGTCTATGCGCGTGTATGTATTGTGGACTCTGGAGTGAAAAGTGTAATCCCTGTCTGTCGGGTGCATGGTCCTCCAGGCGTCGTATAGGTCGTATTGGTCAAGGAGTTTGGAGAGTGCTTTACATGATGTGTCCAGTCTCCGTTTGTTTGCGCCCGTGGGGGTTGCAGTAGTGTCTAGCCCTAGCGATTGTATGCAGTTAAAGTCTCCGCAGAGTATCAGGTCCCCTAACCTATAATCTTCGATTTTGCGCAGGAGGGAAGACAGAAAGTGGCGTGGTCGGTCATTGGGCAGGTACGCTGCCACCAGCGTCAGTTGTGTATCGTTGAAACGACCCACCAGTATAACATATCTCCCCTCTGGGTCTATGTACTGTCGCTGTGGAGTGTAGGCTACATCTTTGTGGATAAAGATCGATACTCCCTTGGATTTTGTGGCAGAGAGAGAGTGCACTTGCATGGGGAATTGTCTAGTAAAGATAGCTGGGGGATGGGTACGTTTGAAATGGGTCTCTTGTATGCAAGCTACGTCTATACCATTGGTTGTAAGGTCTTTAAGAAGGAGTCTGCGCTTGCCTGGGGAGTTCAAGCCATTCACATTATATGAGACTAGTTTCATACTTAATTATTTTGTGGGCAGGTACACTAGTGGTAGTAATTCCTATGCTTGCTACTAAAGCTGTGCTGGGCACAGTACGGTCGAATAGGCGTATTGGTGGAGGCTGCAATGTATAGTTTTCCTGGAGGGTGGGTTTCTTTCACTACACTGACACACACTCTGCTTTCACTACACGGACACACACTCTGCTTTCACTACACTGACACACACTCTGCATTCATTACACTGACACACACTCTGCATTCATTACACTGACACACACTCTGCATCCACTACACTGACACACTACTAGGTAATATGCACATTAACTGATTTCTCACTTTAACGGTAACATTTATATTATACTGCCTGAGTGCATATACTGTCACCCTTCACAGGGTTATTTACATATATACTGTACCGAGGGTACAAACAGTACTGTGGCTGTCCTCTGGCTTTTTTCATGGCACGCCACCTAGGGTGATCCCCCAGCTATCCATGTCAACCTGATATTGTGCCTATTATTAACGTGGATGTCCTCTAATTGTCACGGCACACCATCTGGGGCGAACCTCAGCTAATTATATGCGGGTCTGCTACGGCAGAAAATGTATGCACTGAATGTTCCTATGTGATGCATTAGTCTGATGTGAACATGGTTCAACTCCGGGTACAACTGTGGTACACCCACTATACTAGGGAGTCCTGGGTCACCCGCTCCTAAGAGACACACAGGTCTCAGCTACTTTTCAAGGGTATACCCCTGTTTTATCAGGTGAGAGGGCCCTCCCGCATTGTCACACAAAATAATATACACACACGGGCAATAAAATTTTGGGTCACTATACCCTGGGCGAGCCCCTGTTGTACTAGGAGGTGATACCGCTATTTGATTGCCCTGCCACCATTACAACTCACTGACTGTCACGGTTTCACACACAAGATAGTTTCAGACATGGAAGACACACCGCAACTGACCCAAGACTTCCAAGCGATGATCAATGCTGTGGTGGCGGCCTCGGTAGAGAAGGCTCTGCTACGAGAAGTACCCCACCCCAAGGCAACACAGACCCATCTGATCTGGCGGAGGCCTCGGAACTGTCGAAATCCAAACGACATTGGGAACAAGCCCTGCGGCCTCTAGGACCAAGCACTGGTTAAATGGCCCAAACGGGTGGAACGGGAGCCCACTCCCCTTCCACCACCTTCCTCCGACGAAGATGACTATGGCCCAGGAGGTGACCTCAACATTGTGGATGAGTGGCGCGAAGATGGCTCACTCTCAGAAGATGATGACTGGCAGGACCTACCACAGTCTTCCTCACGATATGTCAAAAAGAACGTCTTCGGGGAGGTCGACAGACACAAGGACACCCTGAGGGTCCCTAAAACTAAGATGACCGAAGATGGTACCTTCTTGGACAAGCAAGGATTACCACTCTTCGACCCTCAGAACATTCGCCATCCCCGATCATCAGAGTGGACCCTCCCTGACCACCTGGGGAAATTCGTACACTATTGGCTACGCAAGCCCCTAGAGAGGGAGGTTCGTGCATACCTAAAGGTTGAATGCTCTAGACCGCTCCTACTGGACAAAGTGGCATGTACTCCACAATTCGAAGCCACGGTGGTGGTCGTCATGTCCCGTTCTGGGCGTAATCCATTCAAGGGCGCTGAGAAGGGCCTAAAGGCCGCACAAGACAAGCTACTAGACTTGCTTGGCCCTATTACCAAGATCCTCTACTGTGCAGACCTGGGGCTCTCCTAAGGCACTCAACTAGACCCGCAAGCTATTTGCGAATGGGCCCAATGAGCCATATGCCTGCTGGGAAGTTCTAATGCTGCATTATGCACTGAACAGCGCAGGTCGGACTTGCTCCGCATAGATAACAAGTTATTGGACCTTGGATCCAAAGAACTCGTTCACCACTTTAAACAAGGCACAAGCATCCTTGAAACAGATCTTCCGCACCCCACCTGGATGAGGTGTTTTTGGGCGGGTTGGTCCACAACGGAGCTGAGCCACCAGCCGCTTCTGGTCGACGGGCTCCAGAACATGCCCACAATCATCCAATTTCTTCCCTACCATGGCACAAAGATCCCCCTCCTACAGAGGCTCCAGAGGATGTGGTCGCTTCATAATGTGTAAGTGTCCATACCAGTCCACCAGTTCCCAACTTTACCATTGGCAACATGCCTCTTTTATTACAGAATTGGGAGGCGATCACCGACGCCTGGATACTCTAGATGGTACAAGGTTACGTCATAGAATTTTATTCGCTACCTGTCCAGACATCTCCTCCGCCTCCAATACGTATGTCTACGGAACAAGACCAACTGGTAGACGAAGAAATCTGCACCCTCTTCTAGAAGGGCGCAGTGCAATACACGTCGGAAGACGGCGGTTTCTTCAGCAATATCTTCCTAGTCAAGAAGACGACGGGAGATTACCGACCGGTTATCAATCTGCGACACCTGAATTACTACGTGGTATACAGACATTTTTAAGATGGAAGGTATTCATCTCCTACAAGACCTTCTCATTGCGAACGACTGGTTCACACTCCTGGACCTAAAAGACCCGTACCTGTCAGTCCCCATCGCCCTAGATTGCCGTCAGTTCCTCCAGGTCAGTTGGAGAGGACGTACATGCCAGTTCACGTGTCTGCCTTTCAGTCTCAGCTCCGCGGTGCTTCATGAAGCTGCTGAAACCAGTGATGGCTCACATCTGAACCACAGGCGTGCGATGTCTCGTTTATCTGGACGATTTGCTGATTTTCTGCAAATCCACATCAAGACTACGATTGCAGACAAAGTTTGTCGTTCACTTCCTAGAATCCTTGGGTTTTGTGGTGAACAGACAGAAATCATCTCTCTATCCTTCCCAGTCGGTCCAGTTCCTCAGATTCGAGACCGACTCAAAGAACTGCGTATTGAGCCTTCCAACGTCAAAGGTAGCCTCCATACGGAAAGAAATCAAACGTGTCCTCCGGATGGATACAATTCCCCTTAGGATGCTCGCTCGGATTGTTAGACTCCTCTCGTCCTTCAGCCAAGCAACATTTCCAGGACCTCTACACTACAGAGCCATGCAACGCCTAAAAGCGAGATGCCTGTACTTGGGACACTTGTACGCTCACTGGATCCAGCTCTCAGAGGACGTTCAGACGGAACTTCGCTGGTGGCTTCTGCACATTCAAGCCTGGAATGGCAAAGCGATTTTTGGCTCATGCCTGGACTTCATTGTAGAGTCGGACGCCAGCCTCTGGGGTTGGGGCGCACACTCCTCCACAGGGGGACCTTGGCAGGGCGAAGAGACCGACCTTCACCTCAACTGTCTGGAATTGGTTGCATAGTCCTTCGCCATCCGCAGCCTGGCCAAAGACATGTCGAACTGATGCATTATGCTCCGCATGGACAACATTTCGGCGGTGCAGTTAGTGTTAATATTTGTTTGTGTGTGAAAAGTTGCAAAAAACTAATTTGAACGCCAATTTTGGCCAGTGTTTGTGACTAAGTGGCTACTAAAAAAGACTGAACATACCCCATTTGCAATACCTTGGGTTGTCTACTATTGCAAATGGTATGCCATCATGGGGGTAATTTTCATTCCTGGGCTATCATATGGTCTCAAAGGCAACGTAACCAATCTGGCGAATTTCAATGTGAAAAAACTGAAACGCAAGCCTTATATTTGACTCTGTAACTTTTGAAAACACCATAAAACCTGTACATGAGGGGTACTGTTATCCTCTGAAAACTTCACTGAACACAACTATTAGTGTTTTAAAACAGTAAAACCTATCACAATTATATCATCCATGTAAATGCCATTTGTGTGTGAAAAATGCAAAAAAATTAACTTTCACTGATGATATCATCGTTGTAATACATTTTTCTGTTTTGAAACACTAATATTTGTGTTCAGCGAAGTCTTCCAAGTAAAACAGTACCCCCCATGTACAGGTTTTGTGGTGTCTTGGAAAGTTAAAGGGCTAAATATAGTGCTAGCAAATTAAATTCTCTGGACTTTTGATCTCGTTTGTCAGGCAGGTCCCGCAAATAGTAATTAATAAAATGACCTAATTATGTAAAATTATTACATAAATATATATGTCGAATTATTATTTGACCCTGTAACTTCCCAAAACACCCTAAAACCTGTACATAGGGGGTACTGTTTTACACGTGAGACATCGCTGAATACAAATATGTGTAATTTATTGCAGTAAAAGCAAACAGTATTATGACATTCACAGTTAAAATGTAACGTAGAACTAAAATAAATGTTAAAAAAATCTTATTTTCTCCCATTTGTTTTATATTTTATTCATATTAAATTATGTTTCACACCTAAATATTTGATGTTAAATGAAAGCCCTGTTTCTCCTGAATAAAATGATATATAATAAGTGTGGGAGCACATAATATGAAAGAGGTGAATTACGCCTGAACAGACACATAGCGCAAATTGAAGGTTTTGTTTTGATCACAATGAGTACATTTGGCACAGTCCTTAACCCCTTAAGGACACATAACGGAAATATTCCGTCATGATTCCTTTTTATTCTAGAAGTTGAGTCCTTAAGGGGTTAAAGCGGCACTGTCATGCTGAATTTACCTTTCTCTCCCTCTCTTGGGATCTGTTCTTCATTTCTTCCTGTCTGCTCTAGTTTTCTTTAAAACATAAGACAAAATAGGGACTATTTGTCTTATGGAGGTTTCCTACACCTGACCATCTCTGACCAGAGGAGCAAAGTGTGCTTCATTTCCAGCGGTCAGAGAAATTTTCCCACAATTCTTAGCTTTCCTCCCTGTTCCCGCGATGCTTCCTGTCAGTATTCCCGAACGCTCTGTCATTTAGACATAGCGCCAGCAAAACTGACGAATTGCGTCCTAACATAATGAGAACAGTTTCACCATTCGTGTTAGAACGCAATCAGGACTTTGTTTGGATTGGAATTTCATTCTAATGAATGAAACTCCGATCCTATTCGTGCCGCAGCTGCATCTTGCCCCTTAGTAGATAGCTCCCTAATTCCCACGGTATCAGGGAGCTATCTACCAAAAGGCTGAAAGACCTAATATTAAAAACCCTAGTACACCCTATTGTCCTCCTTACCCGTCCCCTCCCCTGAGCGGTGCGTGGGGGCCATAAAGGAAAATGAGGGGGGGTGATCCCACCCTTCAATTAGGCTCAGAACACTCTGATTGGTTGACATGGAATTGAACCAGAGTGCTCTGTGTCATTTTACACAGTGTGGGAAAGTTCTTTGGAATTTTCCCACGCTGTGTAAAATGACACAGAGCACTCTGATTGGATGGATTTCATGCCATCCAATCAGAGTGTTCTGAGCCTAATTACAGGGTGTGGCAAGGCTTTATAAGCCTTTCCCCACCCTGCGGAGCTCAGTCTGCGCTGTGCCCTCGCTGGGTGAAGATGGATTCATTTTTTAGTGTCGGGGGTTTTTCTTTTTTGACTGATTTTTTTTTTTTTTTTTTGCGCTCGGGTTATTTTATTTTTTACAAATTCGACAGGTATTATGGTTTTTATTTGGCTTTTTTGGGGCTGAAAAATTAAGATTTTAGAAAAAAGACCTCAAATGGTAATTTTTTATTTTTTTTACAGGTAGTTGGTTCTTTTGATTCCCCCCCTCAGGACCCCTAGTCACCTTGGAATGGGGGCATTTTAATTTAGGGCCCCCACCCGCCCCTCAGGGGTGAGGGCTAAGGTGAGGACAATAGGAACCCCACCCTGAGCGGCGGGTGGAGGCCGGGGAGGGGGGACACAATAGGTCCCCATTGTTATTTATGGCCCCCACCCACTGCAGAGCGGAGGGGGCTGAGTGGGGGAGGGAGAGGACAATAGGCCCCCCCATTGTTATTTATGGCCCCCACCGCTCACGGGGTGGGGGAGGACTATAGGCTCCCCCCTCATTGTCTTTTATGGCCCCCACCTGCCGCTCAGGGGTGGGAGGACAATAGCTCCCCCCCTCATTTTCCTTTATGGCCCCCACCTGCTGCTCACGGGTAGGGGGAAGGACAATAGATTCCCCCCTCATTAGCCTTTAGGGCCCCACCCACTGCTCAGGGTTGGGGGCTGGAGGGGAGGGAGGACAATAGGTCCCCCCATTGTTATTTATGGCCCCCACCCACCGCTCAGGGGTGGGGGGGAGGACAATAAGTCCCCCCACCTGCCACTCAGGGGTGGGGGTACTAGGGGCTTGTTTTTTTAACAGTGAGCAGCCACAGGCAGCGGGAAAAGCTCCCAGGACTTATCTCCATGCATGCACTTGCGCTACCCAATCAAAAGCTTCTCAGAAAAGCCTTTGATTAGACAGTTTTGCTGACAGAGCCAAAGTGTGCACTCTGACCAGGCAAGGATAATGATTGAGAAAGGGATTTATAACTTCTAAGAGAAAACACGATTTATTCAATGGAGGGAAGCAGGAAGGACCACACGGAGGGAGGAAATAATGGAAGAGCAAGTTTCACCTTGCGGGCATGATGTCTGAGCGTGCAGTGTGCCCTGACAAACATAAATTTTGCACAGAATTGACATTTAGCAGTCAAGAACACTCTACCAAAGTCACATGTGCCGGGTTTTCAAACACAGGCTTGGTCCACTGACCGTGTATGGCAAAGCTGCACAACGGACGAAGCATGGGACCTACTGGCATCCACCTATCAGAGCTAACCTTGCCTGAGCCATTACTGCATAAATCTAATACAGAATAAAACTACCTGCCACACCCTCACCTATATTCCACATTTCATAAACTACTTCCTTATTAATGTTACAGGTGCTGCGGGAAAAGGTAAAACAATTTACATGTGTCAGTAAATAATATATTGGGGTTTTTTTTTTATCAAAGAATAACACTGCATGTTTTCAGGGTTGTGAAAAATGTCTGAATTATACAATTTAGATTTCATTTTTTACTCAACATAAAATAAAGTTTAAGGAGACAGTGATTTTTGGAGTGCTCTTTACAAATGTTTGAAATTGGGTTGCTGCTTAGAGTTGGTATTTTCTCACTGCTAACACACTCTGAAATGTGGTACCCTTAAACACACAACAAAATGCACAAAGGAAATTAGTAAATAAGAGTGGAGCAGTATATCAAGAGATTTGACTATTTAGGCGATAGACCCTAAATATCAATTTTGTGAGAGTTGAAGTTAATACTTAATTTTTAGTGGATGACTTCCATAAGTCATCCACTGAAAATTAAGTATTTACTGCATGTTGTGATTTACGTTGTGTAGAGTACAGCACTTAATGTCAGGGCAACACTGGACATACATAGATCGGTCTGCCTGAGATTAATGGGAGTTACACTAATGGGTAGTGAGCTATTTGCAGCTGGCTTTAATGCTTCAGTCCCTCTCCAGTTGCTTGGAGTGAGAATGCAGGGCAGGATATACAAAGATAAGTTGCTGTCTGAGATTGTAAATCCCACCACTCTCAGGCAAACCTGTATATATGTACTTTCCAGTGCTGATCAAACAGAGACCCTAGCCTTAATATTTTTTTTAAGGTTAATATAAAATATAACTAACACTTTAGAGTGCATTAAAGGAAAACAATTCAGGGTTCCATACCTCTGCTTTATGTTTTAATAAAAGGTCTCCTGAACACTTAAATAGCTTTATTTTCCTATGATACACATATCTTGATTACGTATATTTTACTGCAGACAATTTGGAGTCATTATGAAACGTTCCATTAAAAACTAACTCCTGACAAATATTAATGTAACAACTCCCGAAAGCATAAAAAGTGAGTTTTCAAAATTTCCAATGCATAATTAATTTCCTAAAAATCCTTTTAGTCCAAGCTTTCCAACTGTTTGAAAATTAGATAAGTGCCAAGCTACTTCATAAACATTGTCTATGTACAATTCTTCAAACCCCCCCTCCCCATCATCCATCCTATCCCGGGGGGGGGGTGTCCATAATTTCCCTCTGCTGGGAATCATGATGGGAGTTGTACCTAGTCCCCCCCCCCCCTCGCACAGCCAGCCTGTGTTCTCTGCCCAGGAATACACTGCCAGGCAGGGGCACATTCTAATAAGCTGCAATACTCAGCACCATCTATCTATCTCTCTATCTATGGGGCAGGTGGGAACACGTGTGACGTCGTTGAAGCCGCCCTTTAAATGCCCACTGTGTACCCGCACTGGGCATGGTGCCTGGCTGTACGACACGCAAGCAGTATTATACCTTTATTCACCCCTGTTTGCGGGTCGTCTGCGGTACTCAGCGCTAATAAGAAGCATAACACAGCCCAGCAAGCAAGGGTCGCCATCTTTCTGGAACACTTCCTGTTTCTGCCTACAACTTCCGGTTACCGCTGATACACCCATGGATACACCTAGGCTGCGTTGAGCAAAGCACGGGCCGCCATGTTGGTGCACCTTGGTGATCCACTGCAGGGAAGCTTGCACGTTGTTCGCGCTTTCCTGGCGCCCTCTAGTAATGTAAATGGGTATTAAAAAAAAAAAAAAAAAAAACAAACATCTGAATGCTTTATAATATAAAGTCGAATGAGAAGAGTTATTTACTAAAAGTGAGAATTGTCAGGTGTTAGGCTGAAACCACCCCAGGGTATTTGAGCCCAGGTAACTGCCATGGACTTATGAACCAACAAGGAAGACGTTTCTGCTTTCCCTTACCTCTCCATACGCTGGGAATATTTAAAGAATCTCACCACAGAGATGTAGTATCAATAAGCATTCAATAATGTATTGCCTGGTACATTACAGATAAAGGGCACAGTTGTCAACCAATAGCAACATGTACATTAAATCAGAAATAACTGGGGCGTGGTCTGACCGTCGATGAGACTAGACGTGTCTCACTAGAGCTCCGTCCTACCGGCGCTGTAAGCTTACAAAAGCGACCCTTTCTGTAAAATTTCCCCCCCCCCGAACTCCCTACATGGAGAAGAGACTCCCCAAAAAACAAAGAGGACCACGGAGTCTGGAGGCTCTGTCCTTGACCTCCTAACAGCGCAACAGCATGGTCGGGCCGGGGGCCAAGATGGCGACGGAGGGTCCCCACATGCATCGCCTAGTGCCGATAAAGAGGCCTCCTCCGTTGAACACGATACTGTGCTTGCTAAATTGGCTGAAGTTAGAGCATTCCTAGCAGGGGAAATAGCTAAATCGACGGCTGTTTTGCAAGCCGATAATGAAGCCCTGGGAGAGCGTACCGCGAAACTGGAGGACCACATGGAAGCGACAACACAGGCCCACAATGAGGTAGTCGACCGAGTGAACCGCATGACAACACGTGACCGTGATAGACACAGATCTGGCTCTGGAAGATATGGCTAACCGGTCTCGGAGGAATAACCTCCACTTGAGAGGCTTACCTGAAGGGACCAACTAAGACCTGCAGGGGCTCTTACTATGCATCTTAAAGTCTCTCCTTCCGCACATTCCGGAGGAGCAATGGCACATGGAGAGCGCGCATAGGGCACTGAGAACACAGCGAGCCGATGCTAATACCCCGAGGGACGTGATAATCAATTTTCTCCATTACAAAACAAAGGAGGCACTGATTGTGAGGGGCCGATCCGGCATGCTGGAGCTCTGATCTCCCTTTACCACATATTGCTACCGTAACTGACACTGGAGAGCGGTCAATTTTGGGACATTGATACTCCAGGACATACATAGTAACTGCATTTGTGGATGTCCCATTGAAATGTTTATTATTGATGCTCTCTGATACTTCTGTGTTGCTAGAGAGGGGACAAAACGTTCCTCGCCCCCCTGCCCTTTCCCTTCCCTCCCCTCCCCACCCTACTTTGGAAGAGCATACACCGGTCCACGTGGATTTAGACTCCTTTGGTTTTCTTGACACCCCCCCCCAGACAAAAAAAGGAAAAGGAGGGGGAAAAAGTTTTTTTTTTTTTAAAAACATACATTTAGATTTATGGGGTAAAAAGGGGAGAAAAATTAAATAAAAAATGTAAATTAATCAATAAAAAAAAAATACAAAATTAACGACCATGTCCGACTGGATATGATGCCAGTCAGAGTTGACAGCTGTCTAGCTGGGCTGACGATAATTAGGTACGTGGTGACAAAACACACAAGTAATGTTATGGCGCTGAATTTAAAACTATAATCTAATCCAATAAGCAGCACTATATATCGTGAAAAAGCTCAATCACCTATTTAAAAACAATGAAAAATTAAAGTGCGCTGTGCCTTTAAGACTCAAAACTGTGAAAATAATTTGTGCAAATAAAGTGATCAAGTGCATCAATGTGCAACTCACTTCAACATATATACATACAAAATGTGCAAAAAATTGTTTCTTTGTGCAACCAATTATGTGCAAAAATACAATACTTAGCTTTCCCAGTTATGGAATGTGCTTTAGAACTTCTGTCAGCACTCCAATATATGTCTCAAAAAGAGAAAGGAAATATACAATCATAGGGTAGTATGTACATACACAATAATAAAGAAAATGTAAACCAAAACACTCACAAGGGTAGAGCAATAGAAGTCTGCTCTAAACTTTGTAGGCTTATATTGCAATAATGTAGACTGGAAACTGTGGTGAAGTTAAATCCTTTATTGCTTCTTTAAAAATATCGCTGCATAAGGCTGGTAAGTCCCACTTATCTGGTCTCCTCTTATGGTTAGTGCTGGTATATGCAGTCACACTTTCGGCGCCGGCTGTACAGGGTCTCTGTATGCCGAAAGGACTTCCTAGTTCCAAACACTTCCGGGAGGCGGGTCTTAGCGGCCGGTGAGCGTGATGACGCGTTTCGCCGAGGGGTTCGGCTTCCTCAGATCAGCTCCTTTCACACCACGGTCCCAATTTATAAGTCTTAAAAAGCATTTATATATGCACATTAAGCACATCATTTATATCTTGTTCATTATTTGTTCTACAAGAAAGGGCAGAAGCCTTGAGCAGCTGCCTGCAGGACACTGAAACAAAAATGAATGATGGGAAAACAAACACACTTTAATTTTTCATTGTTGATAATTAGGTAGGTGCCTAGTGTTGAGGGGAGGGTTTTTTCGACCATAAGGGAGGGAGCCAGTGTGGAACCAGAGGCACCCACTTTTCCTTATCCCCCGATACGATGGCTTAAGTGGTGGATCTGTCTAAACGGGCAGACAACAAGATGTGTTACGAATGTTTCCATATATAACAATGTTGTGTTTTTTTTGTTTTGTTTTTATTCTATTCGTATTATTTGTGGTGATTATGAAAAAAGGGGGGGGATTTTGAATTCGGACTTGGGTTTGGATTTGAATTTAAAACTTTTATATTTATAGAGCAAAAAAAGGGAAAAGAAAATTTACATTTAAAAATGCTTATATATATAAAATAAGTGACTAAAAAGGAAAGAGGGAATAAAGGCACAGATAAAAACACAGTGCACTGCTCTGCCAGGGACCCGCACCAAAAGCAGTATAACTAATCGTAAATTTTGCCACTGTTTTTCCCTGATATAATGTTATGCATTCTATATAGTTCAGTGGGGCACCTGATGGGTAAGGTAAACGCATAAAGGGGTGACTATATAAGGCATATAGGATGTACGCAACTGTACTCTCCAGACGGAGGGGTTCTGATAGTTTTGACACCGTATAGAGGTGATAATGGCTAACTTTAGTGTCCCTTTTACAGGGAGACCTACTCCGTATCACAGGGGGGGATCTTACTTAGTAGGAAGGCAAGGCCACACAATGTGCCTTGTGATACGCTGGAATCCCCCCCCCCCCACACACTTAGAGGTCTGTGGTAACTCCTTCCCCCCCCCCCCAACAAAAAAAAACCATATGTCTAAATGGCAGGGGTTGGTATAGGCTGGGGAGCAATGACGCATGATGGTAACAAGTATATCAGGACGGTGGACGCATATGGTATGATTAACTTACCAATGACCCCGGGATTGTGTGAAAGGGCCCCAAGGTGTGTTTCCTAGCGATGAGATGTAGACATTGGCACTCTGGGTGGTGGAGAAACATTGGAATTTTTAGATTGTTAAAAAGGTGGCGTGATATAGCCCTGGTAATAGGATCAGGCCCCCACCGAATTATTTGGGACCATGAGAAGCAGTTACGAAATGGGATCCCCTGATAGAACCAGAAATACAGAAGAGAGGGGGAAAGGGAACCAATAGTTAGAGGAAACACCAACACATTGATGGTCAATCCAGAGGTCAATTCAACTAAAGAGAGGCGCGTAGGCGAAGGAGCTCAGGGACCCACTGTTCCTCCCAACGTTGATCGTGGCAGGGATGTGAGAACATGTTCCCCACAAAATTCTGGCAATTGGTAAGACCAGAGTTACTTTGCATCGGACTGAGTCCAGATGCTGTTTTTCTTTTCTCTCTTCTCTTCTTTATTTCCTACTTTCCTTTTTCCTAATCTGAGGGGTTGCGGGGACTGCGGGTGGTGCGAGGGGGTTGCCCAGGAACATAACAGGGTGCGAGACGAAAAAGAAACTATGACAGGTCTATACAGTAGATGCGAACATATCACAAGATGGAGATGAAGATCACATCCTTGAACGTTAAGGGTCTTAACGCCCCAAAGAAGTGCCGACTTATGTTCAAAGAACTGAAAAGGGCGAAATCGGACATAGCATATGTCCAAGAGACCCATTTGCCAAAACAGGCCAAGTTTCGACTGAGAGACCACACGTATGCCAGTTCATATGAAGCCAGGTCCCATCGCAAACGTAATGGGGTGGCGATCCTTATTAGAAGCAGTTGTCCCTTCCAATTGACTAATCAGGAGGCAGACCCAGAGGGTCGCTTTGTTATCGTTTCGGGTACCCTACACTTACATACCATTCATCTGATAAATATATATAAGTTTAAAACCAGTGGAATCTATCCTTGACACACTCAACATACATCAAAAACGCCTATTCGACATCTGTCCCTGGGTCTGCTAACACTTCCTCTCTCCAGTTAACTCTTCAAAAATAATAATAAAAATAGTTCAGCTTCAGTAGTTCAGAAAAAGGAGAAATAAGTCTTTTTAAGGAAAATAAGGAAATCAGTTTGGACGCCATAAATTGTTCCATAAGAATGGCTAATAGTAGCAAGATGGCTGACAACAAGACAATGTCAGCTTTCACGTAGTTCTTAGTACTTCCTTTAGTTGCTGGATTTTCACCACAATGCTCTGTGCAACACCCTGATTGTTGAAAAGGTTATTACAGAACTTACAGTATTAGACAGCACTTTCTAGGTACTTGCGTGCAAAGTTTATGTCCTCCATAAGTAAGCATCTCCGTTTCTTCGGCCTGCATGGGTTTTGGCCAAACAGATGCAACTGCAAAATAGTTAGTAGAGGATTAGCCAGAGAGATTGGTTAGCAGTTCTCAAGAATCTGGCGGCACACACACTCCAGGATGGTCTATACAATCATACCAACACAAGGATCAATACAACATAAACAATTCCTAAAAGGATACAGGTTTTTCTATAGGTAGGTCTAATGCACGTGCGGCCATTACCGTGCATGCGCATTAGGTCTCCCCCACTGGCTGACGGCGGGGGAGGAGTGAGGGCGGAGCCTGACCCAGCACCGAGGGACACTAGCGCTGGATTCAGGTAAGTGGCTGAAGGGATTTTACCCCCTTCAACCCCATGGAAGGGGGGCGCGAGGAAGGGGGGACCTATTAAACCTAAAGTCCCAGGAAATCGGGTTTTTTTGTTTGTTTTTTTTTCTGGCTCTATAGGATCCCTCTATTATAATATTTATATCTATCTATCTTCTTCTAGGTCATTTTGCTTTCAATTTACCAATATAAATATAATACAAGTACTCCTCACTTACTGACCAGATTCCGTTCTTACGACCCGGTCGTAGAACGAATTGGTCGGTAAGTGAGGAGTACTTGTATTATATTTATATTGGTAAATTGAAAGCATTTTGCTGGAAGACCTTATTAGAAGATCTTTCAGCAAAATGACCTAGGAGATAGATAGATAGATAGAAATAAAATAATAGAGGGATCCTATAATGCCAGGAAAAAAAAAAAGATTTTCCTGGGACTGTAGGTTTAATAGGTCCCCCCTTCCTCGCGCCCCCCTTCCATCCAACATAACAGAAAACAAAAGACGTAGTAGATACACACAATGGATAACCAGCAGAGGTGCCAATACAAGAAGCAAATTCATGTACACGCAGATAAATCATAACCAATCCCAAATAAGTTAAAGGAACACTATAGGGTCAGGAACACAAACATGTTTTCCGGACCCTATAGTTTTAAAACCACCATCTATCCCCCCTGGCCCCCTTTTGCCTCCCTAAATATAGAAAAATCTTACACCTCCAATTAAATATTATACTCCATTCTCTATCTTGGGCAAAACAGTCATTAGTGGGATTTATGCTTTTATACAATTTACAGAGATCCTCTTGAACAAACGTGTGCATATTAAGATTTACAAACAGCTATTTACCTTTACAGAGAGAGTCAATACTTAAGATATAACATCACTCAGCAAAAGAAACATTTTAACAACTACAAATTATTATATAGAACATTTATAATATACGTTACTCAATGCCATACAATGGAAATCTGCAAAACATAATTTTCCATTCAGTAAACAGCAATGCAGATTCTGTTAAAACAGACTATAATAACCATGGTATTCCATCATCAACTATTCCAAATAACATACTTTAACCTTCTCAAACATCTAGTTTCTCTTCTAGCAACTTTAAAACTTAATCTTTTATAAACCTTAAACATATTCTCCTACTTACTATTTTGTAATTGCATTCTTTATTCTGCACAATTAAAGAAAACAGATAAGAACTGAATCCAAAACATGACAAATCTGTACAGCATGAAACCGAGAAATTTAAAACTCCCTGACACAATGTGTTATTACAGATAAAATGAAGCTCTGCACTCCAACTCTCACTAATCTTTAGCGGCAACAATGGCTATAGTATTCAACAGCCCATAAAACAGTTATTCAATAGGCTATTAGGCAGGAATTTCTATTTACATCCACAGATTGGGACAAACTGATTAAAAAAATATTTTAAAAACAACACAGTAACAGGAATATTAAAATGTTCTAATTGTCAGTTAAGTTGCACACTCCATATATGCATACTTTCTGCTTTAGCAATGGGCATCCAAATCACATATTAACATATAGTCACTGTATCCAAACAGAATAAACTTTTAATAGCTATAGTATTTACCGGTATAATATATTATTGTAAGGTATACCATTATATCAATATTTTATATCGAAGTTTCTACTTGCTTTAACTTGTATTCTCTTAATCACATTATACTTAAAGCACCTTAGTATGTTTTAGAAAGATGGGGTCCACTTTTATAGCACGCTTTTTCTTAGATTTTTACTTTCAACTTTTATTTACCAATTGCATATATGCTGGCCGTTCTGGCCACACAAGGTCTGCACCCTGTCCATTATTTTGTTTCTCTCAGATGATGCTACATATAGACATTGAGAAAATATTTGGACCAGGTGACACAGAACTGGTGTCATCTGCATTTTTTAGGACTCTCAGATTAAACAGGTTTATGCTATGACATGTAAAATGGTCTGGCAAACCTTTGGGTTGACAGGTCAAGCTGAGTGTCCAAAGGCCATACAAATGTAGATTCTACCGTTGTCCATGATTTCCTGATCCAGACTACAAGCCTGACCAAAAACAAACCCAAAGCATAATGGAGTCTACAATTGTGGTCACAAGAGATTTAAACCTCCGCAAATACCCTTCAACAAATTTATTTCCACTTTCACAATTTAAAAGAACACATTAAATCAGAAATATATTAGTGGCAAGCCTTTTTCCATCCCAAGAAGTTCAATCTACTGAAATGGGGAGTTAGTATTGTACCACTTCTTAAT